ACATTACGTTTTATTACACGTGAGAGGTTGCTGATAAACTGTATTTAAATTCTTCTTGGGCAAAAATGGTGCTAGCAACGTCTGAAAAGGCTTACAGTACATGAGTTGGTTCATCCAGCCTTAAGCTCTTTCTCCCTTTAAGCTGCATTCACACCTTTGCGATTCAGCGTTATAGGAGATCATCGTTCTGAGTAAAGAGGATTGCATAGGTTTCGATCGGCGGCCAGAACGCAGATTCGCTCAAATGCCGATTCGCTGGAAACACTCAGCACCCATAATTTCTTTTTCGCTCAGAAAGTCAATTTGCTCAAAACACGGTTTCTTCCAAAACGCCGATTCGCAAATTATGGACGCAGCCTTTAGCTTGGACAAAACTCCTCATCTTCATTTCGGTAGTTCTAGTTTTGCACAAGGAGTACTGAAGCCCTCCTCCATGGTTAGTAGCGCCTGAGCGGCTATTGGAAATGCATTCCATGTTTTGGCTGTACTGGAGCCAGATAACATGTCAGTAAACCCTCACTTTCTGTTTCTTCATGTGTCGCTTTTACGTCGTCGTATTGGTCGTATAGCATGGAAAACGTTCAGCCCCTTTGAAAAAGAGAAAATTCCGCTTCAACATGCAATGTTAGTAGTAGCTTTAAAGTAGTGTGGGGCACTTCAACACCTCTTTCCGTACCTGCTACCTATAGAGCACGTTTTTTATTCGATTTTTGGATCAGTTTTCACAGGCACGTCGAAAGTGTTCTCTTTAGTCTGGGTCTGCGCTTACAGAGTAGGCGCTCATATATGTCATCTCAACAATTGGCGATTGACCAGCAATTTCAAATATTCCTCTGAAATCTAGACCGAATCAGATCAGCCGGTTAGTTTTCTATAAACTCCGTAGTAGGTAGCCCCCTAGTCCCATCATAGCCTCGAAAATCACCTGGAGGAGTATACCTTGAACAGCTAACATTTTCACTTTACTGAATAGTGGCTATAGGAAGCTAAAAATGAAACCATGTAACACTTTCACTGCCACTTCCCTCACAATAGTCTGTATTTGCATCATTCAGGTGCATAACTCTAGCTGGCTTTTAACGTGCTCAATTCCAGGACTAGTGAGCGTACTGTTCGTGCATTGTACGACTTTGAAGCTGCCGAGGACAACGAGCTTTCATTCGTTAGTGGGGATCTTATTACAGTGACGGACGATAGGTTTGAATTTCTCTTGTGATTATATGTTTAATATCACTGATACGTTTTACACGTTCCGGACCGATGTCTATTCCGCGTTATGTTCACGTTTGGCCGCGTGTTCTTCCACCCCCGGCTGGCGTGACACACCATGTGCGTCACGCGGCCACGGAGAGCACACGTATCGCACACAATGTGTGTCACGCGGTCCGGAATGTGTTAATTGTACCTTTTGAAATTTTGACAAGTGTTCTTTTAGTAATCCAAACTGGTGGTGTGGAAGGATCGGTGTCCAGCAGGGACTTTTCCCGTCCAGTTTTGTCACGTCGGATCTTTCGGAAGTTAAGGCAGGTTTTATATCAGAACGATTGCTAGCGTATAAGTGTTGGCGGGGTGAACTGTCAATATAGTGTTATTTTGGAGGTTTTGTTGTTGTTTATGATACTGTCCTTAATTTTTGTAGCCCGAACCCACCTCTGTAACGTCAGCAGCCCCAGCGGCCCCCGCGACCATTGACGAGTCAGTGTTGCTGCGTTGTATTCAAATGCTTGAAGATTGTGATCCTACCGGCGACACTCCTGATCCACCAGAGCTGGCTACCGTGAGTTCTTTACATTTTTCTCTTCAGATTTGCAATTTTTTTTGTCGAAACATTTCATGTTTACTGTTACTATTGTATTTTCAAAGCTTCCAGTCTTTTATTAGGTCATCCCATTCAAAAGTGCCGAGACATATAGAGGAATGGCAGAAAAGCAAAGGGGATAGAGCAGCGGGCTACTATACCATTTGGAGGCTAGTACCTTTAGCTGTGTATCTGTGAAATTTGGCGAACCTACCCACAGAAGAAGTTCTCGAGAAATTGAAAAGAAGCCCGAGTGGTGAAAATCAGCGGCCGATTTTCGAATCAGTGCCGTCATGGAAGAGGAGCAAGGCGCGCTCAAATTTGACGCTTGCGCCGGCATCAGTAGTCTGTGTGTACTCGGTGTTTTCGGAATTACCAAGGTGGAAGCTTTGCGTTCACGAGTCCGGACACAGGAAGCAAGGAAAAAAATTGTTGTCATCGGAGGGCCGTCCCGTAATGTCCATCTTGCACAAGGAAAAAGGTGGATGAAGTCAAGCGCTGAATGTCTGATCACAGAGGCTGGACCTTTGTCGAGCTTCCACCGCGGGAACTGACATCCCTGCTGCAACTGCTGCCCGAGTCAATCCGATTAAATTGAGGATGGTCAGAGGGTGTGCCCAATCGGGTAACCCAATTTTCTTGTAGAAGCACGAACGCAGTACCGATTCTATGCCTCTAGCAGTAATGTTCTCAGCATGAGATGTCATTCACGACTGTGAAAACGCACCCCGGCCCTAGATGAACAAATGGGGCATACCACACAGGCGACTCGAACCAAAAATAACATTCGTCCATCTTTGCCATGAATGAGATGCGCGAAGCCACCCGAGTTCCATCATGCGGAGTTACGTAGGGCTCGCATGTGGATAACCATCGATAGGCGCGAGGGATATCCCCCATACTGTGGCCCTTTTTGGCGGCCTTCTATGCCAGAGAAACAAAACTCGCTCGCTGTCAGGTGTATATTACCTGTCTTGGGCAATCAAGATCGACAGGATGGTGATAACCACACACAAACTACAAGAGTCATAGTGCCAGACCTCGGGGAACTGTGTTTTATAGTTTGCAGTGCCTGGGACACAAAACAATTACTGCAGCGTCTGCGGTTCAATCGCCCCATTCGCCCAACCATAAAGCCGACTTCGATTCAAGCTGTCTCTGGTCAGTCGAGATTAGCTCTCCGACGGCAAACGCATAACATTCGCCGAAATTGGCATGTCAAACAGCCAATTTAATCGCACTTACCGTTCGGAGCAAAAACGAAGGCTATCAGGGCGTCAAACGCATTTCAGGGCACTGGAGCAGGATCATTGTCGGTGAAGGAGGGATCTACCTAACTCAAAGCCAAAATATTACTTTTCTATCTGTTTTTCTCTTCGTTTTATATGAATAAGATCTTCGGCACTTTTGAATGGGATGACCTAATATTTCTGTTCCATTTTGTACCTTTAGATTGAGCAAGCATCCCGTGCACAAGCTCCTCTTATTGATGCCCGATTAGCAGCCATTGATGCTCAAGTGAATGCACTGTCTCAGGTTGGTTTCATACATTCTCTGCTACTACTGCAATTCAGTGCCAAATCTTGTGTGCACAGTCCGCGCTGATTCCTCAGGGGGGGGGGGACTTATGCTTACGGTTGCTCCTTCCTCACTGGTGCTCTACTGTTTCCTAAGAGGAAAGAGAAGGCACGCTTGAGTGCTAATGAGAAAGGTGTGGTGATTGGCCATCCCAGCCCTCCGGTCATCGTAGATCGTGCCTCTCAAATAGTGGGTCCCGTGAATCTCAGAAGTTTCTTTGTCCAATATGGAAATCATTTTCTCCGTTCTGTTAAGGTTGACATGGCGATACGAGATGTTCTAGCTTTATACGATCAGGCTGTACAGAAGGCTCACTACCAGGTTGGTGTCTTTACAGGATTTGATGATTCTCATAATTTTACACGGCACTGTTGACGAAATAACTCGAAAAGTGCAAAACTTGTGTTATGCATAAGGTCCAAGAGGTGGTCAGTCCACTGGGGAAGGCGTTTAACACGTTCCGGACCGCGTGACACACATGGTGTTTCCTAGATTTTTCTCTCTGCCCTGTTTCATGTGGTCTATTTGGAACTATTTCAGGTTCTGAAGTGATCAGAACACGTATTTGGACCCGGAATACACATATCTCATACCAAATTGGAAACAGCAGATGAAATTACTGACTATCGATATAAGAGGTGTCCAAATCAATGCGAAGATCCCCGCAAAATGAGCGGTCATCGGTGTGCCCTTCAAAACATGGATTACCGTAGTGTAACCCTTTCCGCTTGAAAAAAAACTTGTTACTTTCCTTGGAGTCCCTTAATCTCTGAGCTTAGACGACATCTCAGGCCCAGTTGCAGACGCTCCATGTTCAGAAGTGGTGTTTTACAACTCATTTTTATTTTTCTTCTCTAGTTAAGCTAAAATCCTCACCTCGTCAGTTCTAGTTTTGCCCAAGATGCAACCTTCAAAAATCCGCTTGCTAAAGATCTTGCGCTTTGAGTGTAATCATGTTATGTAAGCTACTTGATTAGTACTCATTCCAAAAATCTAGGCGTATCAACCACCTCCTCCCGTTCATGAACGCCCCTGGAGTAGCGATGCCTCAACCGAATCCTGGAATGCCTACAAACGTAAGTTCAGATTTTTAGATATCAAGTGCTCATCATATTTGCCCAGATGTAGGAGCTCGGAAGTTTCTGGTCTCGTGAGATCACGACCGAAGTTACTTAATTCTATCCATAGTGCATGCTAAAATTCAGATTAAAAAAGCCGCATATCGCTCCGTTAAACATTCGTGACAGTTGAAGGACCTTATTTGGGCGTAATTTTTCTCCTCTTGAGAATATTCACCTTCTTAAGCATTATTTGCACGACGGGGAAGATATGAGAAACATCCACAGGGATAGGAGTGAAATACCACATAAGGCAGCGTTCAGACCTCGCGGTGATGCCCGCCGTCGCGCGACGACACTCTGTAACACGTGTTAAAGCGCTACATAACCTGCGCAAACAGATCATCGGTGCCGGGCCCCCTTGTGTTCTGAGAAGTCAGGAGGGTACGCGTTGCCTAAATCGTAGTCTGGTATCGATCGGCACTGGTTGCTAGAGCTTTGGAACAGTATAGAAAAATGAGAGTGAGAGTACCAGACTGTGTGAAGGTAGCGTCTATCCTTCTCTTATTCGTGCTCTGTCAAAATAAACGGCCGCTGCCGATCGATTCCTATCTGCGGCTTCATTCGCGTCTATAATGCTGAAGCGCTGGCGTAGTTGTAGGGCGTCGACGCGCGTCATCGCAAAGTCTGAACACTACCTAACACTTCAATTGTTTTTAGGCAGCGGTGAACTACCCTCCAAACTCATCACAAGTCCAGCCTGTCTATCAAGCACCTTACGCCAACGGTCCTGCTCAAGCTCAGCCGTTACCCAATGTCCAGTCACGACCAGACGCTCAAGCAGCTTACGCATACGCTGCAGTACCACCACAAGCAGGATACCAGCAACCCCAAGTGCAACCAGAATGGAACGCCGTGCAACACCATGCTCAAAATTACTAAGGTGATTCATTACCACCGTTATATACTTACAATGTTTCCTTTTACTAGATCTTCGTTCAGTTTGTTATTTCGGCTTGACTGACAAGATTCTCCGCGCATCATTTCAATCTGTGAACAATTTTCTTAGTCACTTCACTACTAGGTGATCTATGTACATACGTACTATGCGATTTTTACCAATGTAAAGCAGATCTTGCTGTATAAATAATTTATTGCGATAGGAATTTGATGTTTACATAGAAAAAAATGTTTGCCTTGGCGTTGATATGACGCAATGCGGCTAGGAAGGGGCATTTTGCAGCGAGGGTTCGCCGAGTAATGTTATG